CCACATCTCCAACTCACCCTCTCACTCTGCCCTAAATGCATCCCTTCCACAAACCGACCCCCTTCCACCCTCACCCACCGTCTCGACACCAAGACATCCGCTTCATCGTGCTCAAACCTCTACAGCGCCACACCACCGAAGTTGTTTGTTGCTAGGCCTCACCTCCCCGACAAAGCAACGATTCCCCAATCACAAGCCAACCCGCTTTGCACCGCGATGCGGGCAAATTGTGCAACCAAATAGGAGATCCACTTTGAGCTGTGTGCAGCGCCCTCCCCCTAGAGCAAGTAATCCCGGTTTTGATGAACGGTCGGGGCAACACTCTGTTTACGTTACTTCCCAGGTCCGTAGTCCAGTGAAACGCCGAACAACATGATGACATGCGTCAGTTCCTTTTTTATAAGTCACCCAAGCTTTGTAAACTAATCGACTTCACCAATTATACCGCTTTTACAATTGCTTTTAGTGCAGCTCATCACGCGAAAATTGGGTTGAACTGATTTATACGAAAAGACTTCGTGCAAGCTTTCCAATGTAGACTTTCGCACTTCCTTCAAATACATATCATGTCAGCACAGGCTTGTGAGGTGTCGCAGCCTGAAGTCGCGATTGATAAATAAGCACGAAATCGCACTAGTCTGACCCATGGTTTGACCCTTACTGAGGTGACGAGTCGGTGATAGGAGGGACCGGACTGAGCCTTAGGTTCAGGCCAGATATAGAGGAGGACAAAGAGCTTTAGGGTTTAAGCCTCCTCCACAATCCCACCAGCCTAGAGTGAATTTGGAATGACTAATCAGTTTATGAGGCCCTTCCACAGCGTCCAGGCGTCCATGTAACCCTTCACCTTGTAGAAACAGCTCCAGTCGAGTTTGCTAATTTCGGGGCGAATCAAAACATGGCCCGGTAACCTCATCCAAATTTAACCAGAGAACAAGATGATGTCACGGGAACTAAGCCTAACTAAGGGAGAAGGTCATGGGACCATCATTATCTGCTCCATCTGTAGGCTTTAAGGCCACATACTGTGCGCACGAAGGAAGGGAAGTGGCGCAGAGCAGAACACAGCGAGGCGTGCGGGTAGATGAACCCACATTGCACATAAACAATGGCCATGACATAAACAACAAGGCGCACCACGTCCAGACTCAGAGTTTTCGTAACACCTCCATGTGCTGCCACCACCCAACCATTACTATACAAGACAATGCAGTGTTCTTCAGGAAAGGACCCGAGACTGGAACAAGATGAAAATTTTGACAAGAATCGTCACAGTAGTTTGTCCATCCAAAATATCCTTCACAACACACAAAGGATCGAAGCGAAGTGGAAAAGTAAAGTAAAGCATTCGCTAGGTGTTCGAAAGAGGGAGCTTTCAGTAGAGAGGACGGACGTTTCCTTTGCACACATCCACCATCCCACATTGCCACAACTTCCATGCACCAAGCTGAGGTGTTCTCGAGCACCATCAGCTTAATAAAAGCGAGATGAACGCATCGGTCGTAAAGAGCGCATCAACACTCCAACAGTATGTACAACCAAGTGCTCCTTTTGAGAAGGGAATTTAGAAAGTAGTAACTGACGTCAATAGCATTCCAATGTTAAAATGCTAAAACATGAGTAGGCAAATGAACACCCTGGTGACCTTAACAAATCAGAAAGGCTGAGATGCTTCGTAGAAAGGTTAGTTAAAGTGCTAAATGCAGCGGAGGCAGTACAGAATTTGTCCCCAAAAAACGAAGGTTTTAACTTAGCCAGAAGAGGAAGCTAAATCAAACGTATTAAGTGGTAGTTATAAGTTGAAAAATATAAGTTGGAATTAAAGCAATTACCGTCCAAGTTGGACCGAAAGCGAGAAACACTTTTGTTTCGGACAAAAAAGTCCAAATAAAACAGAATCCACCCAAATAATGCCCTCGTCGATAGTGACGAGACAGGAACAAAAAAGCCACCCAAAAGGAAAGCCGGAGGTAACACCCTCGCCTAAAAGCATGTTTGATTAAGAAGACTATTCATAAGGGAAGTGAAGGAAGATAATGAAAAAAAAAACTGGACAAAAACTTGCAGAAAGAGGTACGATATCTGTCACCCACAAGTTAACATACAAGCTCAGTCTCCAGCATCAACGACTTCAAGACGTTCGCCCACCCCGCCAACCAACCCAACTTTCTACACCTACCACCCACAACCCAACCGAAGTAAGCACTCTCTCCACTTGGAGCACCGTTTCTTCACCACCACCGCCACCACCGCATTCGTCATACATCGTGTCACAACGAACTGACAACATCCACACACACAGCATTTAATTTGGCAGGCAAAACACAATCTCAAGGTGTGCAGCGACATACCAATAACGGTATTTATGTGGGAGAGAAGCGTGACAGTAAATAAATTAAGCTCGAAAGCCACAAAGTCTGCATGGCAATCAAAAAGCCTTATGACGAAATGTAAATGCAATAAAGAAGCAGTGAGAGTTGAAGAAGACAAGTGAGTTCGAAAATGCCTCACACTCACCTGTAGATTTGGTTCCAGAATCAGCGACTCAGCAACGAAGACCTCATGGGGCGGAAACTTACGCATTGCCAAGGCGATTTTGCGAACGTTGATACAGGGCTCTAGAGGCTCCTGGAAACGGAAATTCGACGCCCAAATTTTCTCAAACTCAGGCACGAGAGACGCGAATGTGCGGTCGTTCCATGTTGTCGTCGTGGCTGAGGGATTAGCTTCACTGAAATTTGCAGCATCACGAAGCATGCGTAGGTACGAGAATACGTGATCGGCCACCTGGCAAAGCAAAAAAGAAATACCAGAATTCTCATCATCCACATCATCTTCGACAAAAATTCACACTAAGAGATTCAAATGCTATGCTACATCTTCAGCGAAACAGTAGACGCAGAACTGACTTGAACTAGACCAAGAATTATACCTAGAATCAAGAAGGGTAGCTTTCAAGACCTTATATCCCAAACCCTCGAGTTCCCAATATGAGTCTAAGGGAAGGGGAATTCCAAGACTTTGCAAACAGCATGAACAACGTTTAAGAACCTTTATTCAATAAAAGTATTAAAGATGTCTTCCGAAAAGAGCAATGTAAAAAAAGGTAACTTTATGCATGCGAGATCGCACCAGCTACCAATCCTGCACGTACGGAGACCAAAGTTGAAAGTTCTACATTTAAATGGAGACAAAATGAGGGCCTTCCCCACAAGACTAAAATTTTTAGCATATACATTTCCCAATATGGTAAGGAACTAGCCACAACGAGATTCACATCATGTTTGCAAAGTAAAAACACGTCCAATGTAACAAGAAAAAAGTGCACAAACTCACCACGGTGGGAGCAGTACGACCCAGTTCGGAGAGTTCCACATTAATCCCGAAAATGCTCGTCATTTGGTTGTGATTTGAACTATCATTGATTACGCAACCAGCAACCAACTCTACTGCCAAATTCCTACAAAGAACCCAATTCACATAAACTATGTACGATAATAAAAAATTGACTCATATTACAAAAAAGGTCTTACAATTTGCGCAGGTACGCCACCAGACTTCCCTTCCCCTCGTGACCAACAATCGACGCAACAAATTTCAGCGCCGCCGACCTGAAACAACCGCATAACATTCACATTTCCGCCTCCTTTCCCTCCTTCCCCACCACCTTCACCAATCCAGCAATACCAATTAGCACACCTCTCCCTAAACCCCCTCAGCCCACCATACTCACACCCAACTCACCACCTGATCACACAATCCCACGCCCATCACACTCGCTCAAGTGGGCCAACAATTTCCACAATGGCTAGCACAACACACTGCGCTGCACCAAACAATAAAAATACACACCTCTACACACCTGTAATGCGAATGCATCGGAGGAAGACTCCAAACAAACGAAATCGACACCGTCTCCTTCACCGGACAAACTGCAACACAATAAGGGTCAGAAATGCGGCCCTCCAACCTCACCTTTGTACATCTTCTTATACACTGTCGACGGAAATGGGTTCACATATGCCGACAGATCCGGTGCCTCACAATTTCTACAATACAATATAACGAAATAAATTTCTAGCCACTAAAAATCAGATTACAATTAAAGGAGAACTACCGGTTGGGAATAGGACCGAAGATTTCGTTTACCATAGACTCAAGATGATCCAACGTATCTAAAGACCAGATTTACGGAAACAGTCACAAATCCCATGAATGGTGAGGGAAGTGGTCATGGCGAGAACTCACCTTTAGACTCCACGGCCAGTGTCATGAGAGGGGCGTTATAGTATTTAAGCTGAAATTTTCGTAGCAATTCGTAAACATTCGTGCCTACTGCCGAGGGTTTATCTCTTAGAGAGGTCCGGTTGCCTTTAGTGATTAAAAAAATTACTCTGAACCATTTTTGCGCACAAGAAATTCGCTACTTCAAAAACATACCAACAGAAAATGAGTGGAAGGGAGACTCCTCTTTGGCAAATGTCGATAAAAGGTGATCCAGTCGATAAGAGTCGTCTGCTTTGTACAACTCGTACTCTAAAAAGGAAAAGGGGTCGTGCAACATCGCAGTACTGAGACCTCTAAAAATGGAACACTCACTATACGGAATGTAAAATGCATAAATATCAATCCAACTAACCGCTATGCACGGCTTCAAGTTCGCGATCGACACAATCCTGACTAAGTAGAGGCGCAACGAAGAAGTTAGCAAATTTGTCAAGCGCCTCTTTAAAGCAAGCCTGCTGAATATCAAAGAAGAACAGTGTGTAGTCACCGTCTGTGCATGCGTTGCTACTTCCGTCACGATGATTGACATAGTCATCGAAATCATTTTCTCGGGGATACTTTTCACTTCCCATAAAAACCACTTCAAATCGCGTGGTTATATATTTTATAAAAGAAATATTTACTGTGTTCTAAAAAGTGAGCTAGACCCTGCGCTTCCTTGGGATCGGAAAAGAATCCTGCATGTATGCACAGTGCAGCCGCAGACTACAGATGCAAGGTAGGAAATAAGCAAGGCAAGCGAACCTTCCTCATAACACCTGATTTATCATCACAATGCGTGTGTTGATTTTCCGGACGCTCACTTAAAGCATCACCCTCTGGCTCCGCCTTTTCCCCAGGCTTCAGACTCGATATGAGCATCACCCGCAACCCATTTGCCAACTGAGTAAATCTGAAGAAAATTAATTTATTGAACAACCAGTACCGATAGCATTTAAAATCTGCACCCGACTTCAGAACCTCCATATGTCACACCCAACGCACCCAACGAACCGCGTTGACTTTGTGACTTGCGCCACTGGTTTACTGACTTATAAATAACCTTCAGAGCAGATAATGAGTACTCGATTTTCAATTGGTTGTAACACAGAAAGATGCCTTTGCAAAATGTATAGGAAACGGAAAAATTTAACAATAAGTTTTAGCATACAAAATTTCTTAAAAAATCCTTTTTGGTGAAATTATTTGGCTTGTGGAATTTTAGCAAATGCAATTAAGCTGATGTTGTCAAGGCGATTTATAAAGTTTCTTATCATCGTATAAGAATACATTATGTCTGCCAATACGCTAGCAGCAAAATAATAAGTTCTTCTAATGCCCCGACTTCTATTCTTGTTTACGCCTTATATTTCATTGTAGGTTCCTTACTGTAGTGATCTGAAATACATTCTAGCTTACTCGAAAAAAGCAATTCTAGCAGTCATTTATCAAATCTTGGTGTTGTTATAAATGGCCGAATGGAATATCTCATTAAGTGGCACGCAACATTGGGTTGCATCATGGTAAGTAGGGGGCATAAATTATGAATCCATTAATGTAATAAGAGTATTAGGAAGAATGTGGGCATCGACTTGCTAAAAACGCCAATTAAAGCAGCCAACTTTATCATTGCAATGCTTTGTTTTATGGTGGTTAGGAAGCTCTATGTCTACAACGCCTTTGTGTAGTGACTCTAGGTCCTTCCCAATTACACATTGTAGGTTGAAATAATGCTACACTTTTAAGCCTTGATTGACAGTCATGAAGTTTGCTCATGTTAACAACTGTGTCCTTGCAAAGTCTTTCAAAAGTTACCGTGTAGATGAGATGGGGGGAACTTTCAATTTCCCTTCCGCCTTTGGATGGAATTGGAAATGGACTACGAGGGGGAGTGCGTGAATTGGCGCTCGCTACAACTATTGTTCTATATACTTGATATCAGTGCTGGTAATTAATCTTTACTTTAATTGATAAAAAAGGCTGCTTAAATATCTGTCCCCTCCTTTTATTGAAAGTAGTTGAGCAAGTGGCCATTAGAGTGGCATTTGCGCAGCCGATATCTTCTCATTGATGGGACTAATGACGAGGTTACTTTCACCGCAAACGCATTCGACATACTGTTGGTGGCGCAAAACCGCCATCCATCTTTTTTGCCGCTTGGAATGCGATTACACAAATTACACACCAAAATACGACTAGTGGCAAAAAGCGCCGTCACTCCCCCCTATCTCGTTAGGAACAGTCACCACGTGTGTCCATGCTGTGATATCAGTTTTTGTAGGTCTTGTGAATCCACACAATAAATGTTTCTGTGCCGTTTATGTTAAAGAGGCCAACGCACCACACCTCAATGCATCATATTCACAATCGACCATTAGTGGACATTTACGGTTGTCGGTTTAGAAGGCGCTTACATCATCCTATCCACATCGAGGGGCAATGGCAAGACCAGACACGTACCCTTAGGCAACGCAGATCTCCTCCTCCTGTCCCCTTAATCCGACAAAGAGGTATCAAGCTATACAGGAGGGTGTTACACAGAAGGAAAGTTGGTGTCGATGGACTTTGCAGTGATAACAACAACCTCACCATCACCGTTGGGAGTGGCAGCAGTGCGACAGATAAGGCAGCATCAATTGCTCCTGTTAGACGTAGCGGAGAGGAACAGCCGGCATCCAGATGGAGGACTTTCCACTAGGCACTTCCTTGCATGAAGGAGAAAGTTATTAGCGGCCTGGTTTAGCTTTCAACCACATTGCTCAGCCGATCATTTCCGGCCACCATCAATTTGGAAGTACTTTGACCATGATCACATGGTCGACGGCGAGTTCGAACTAAGCTGAAACCCTACTTCTTCCCTCTCCTGAAACATAAATATTTAGCCATGCTTGACGTTGTCATCTACCTAAGGAGAAGTCTCGGATCATTGCAACTTTCATAAAAAGGAACCATAAATAAAATACCACCCTTAAATAATATTTTCACTGCTATTCAAGAGCGTCTTGAAGCTCTCCGGTATAATTGGCAACTTATTAACAAGGCGCGTGTAATATCTGATGTCTGACGGTTGCTTTAAGACTCGACTGACCCTTGTATGCGTAAGCTAACCTTAGGGCCAAGCTGGGATTTGATTTATTCTCGCTCTCTAGAATGCATATATTCGGACCCACATAATGCATTCTACCCGATGGAAAGCACGGGATGCTATAGTGGTGGCGGCGGAAAGCAAATACAAAATTATTTAGCATCTTTCATTTTGATGTCTACCATTTGTGGCATATACCAACCGTGTGTAGGGGGTGCAAAAATAAAGCGGAGGAATGTCTGAAATCTTTACTACAACAGAGATGGAAATGATGTCTTCAATTGGTTTCACCTTGTCCTCATGTTCCACAGAAAAGCTATACGTTGTCGGAAATAGCGCTAGATTCGCCTTACATGCAGATTTGTCTGATCTCGCTTTACCTGTAACGTCTCTTTTTTTGTTGACGACATCTCTATGGTCGAGTTCTGGAAGCTATTGATGGTCCGGCTATCAAACGCAATGTAACTCCATGACAAGTAGAAGGTGTTGAGGTGACCAAATATAGTTCCTCAGTCTCAAGGTGAAAGGTGACTACCAAAAACCTTGTGATGGTTGGTGCAAGATGCGCATCAAGTGTAGCGCTGAGGATGTTACTCAAAAGAAGGAAGAGTAATGCTTTGTAATACAATGTTTGTAACAAATGGATGTCTAGCAGTTACATTAAGAATTCCTTTAATCAACCTGTAATACCTGCTATCGGCTTCACTTAATGGCCTCTTCTACCCAGGAAAATGTTTCGAGTAGCTGCATCACAAAAATAAAAAGGACTAACGCTTGCAATAAAAGCATTTTTTCAGCCAAAAGGGGACGACGGGAATGAAAGTCGCATCTTAAGTCAGGTCGATGTAATTAAAGCTAAAAACATTATAATTTGTAAAAAAGTACTCAACAAAATTATTACGCTTAGGATAGAATTATTCTAATTCGTACGAATGTGCTGTGAGTGGGATTCCCAGTTTCAGGCTCTGCCAATGTACATGCTAGCTATATTGGTAGTAGCATAAAAGGAACTGCATAGCTTCTTTGGCTATAAAACGATTTAAGCCAGAAAAATTCAATGAACTTTTGTGCTTTCAAATCACTGCGAGGGTAAATTATGCACCTGTATTTAATTGGCGCGAAATACGGAACTCTGCTTGGTGGTTGCGTGCGCGAGGTATGGGACAGATGGAGGTTGTGAAGTCAAGTGCTGACTTCAAGAGCTATCGGTAGTAGTCGTTTTAATAATTTTATTTTGTAACAGCTTCACACAATTGGCGAATGGACTACGGGCAATGCTTATATCGAGCTTGAAGCCCGGAGAAACGGTAGATTCAGATTCTGACTCGGAGAGTGAAGTTTTGGAGCAATGCGAGGAAGAGGAGGCTGCTTGTCACGACGGCAATGGGTCTAAGAGCGCCATGCGGAAGGTTTGTTGACAGTTTTTCCTTATGAATCCACAGTCTGCTGCTGCATTGTGCGTCAACGTGGGGTATTTCACCGATCCGCTGGAAGCTCAGGGACTAGCTCATTTTTTGGAGCACAGTAAATACTCAATTTGTACATCATGGTTATAACTTTGCATTGTGTAGTGGTTTTTATGGGAAGTGAAAAGTATCCCCGAGAAAATGATTTTGACGACTATGTTGAACATCGTGGCGGTAGTTCGAACGCCTGCACAGACGGGGACTATACAATGTTCTTCTTTGATATTCAGCGTTCTCATTTTGAAGAAGCTCTTGACAAATTTGCAAACTTCTTTATCGCGCCTTTACTTAGTCAGGATTGTGTCGATCGCGAGCTTGAAGCCGTGCATAGTGGTCAGTTAAGCTGTCAATTAATTTTTAAATGAATGCATAGGTACGACGTAGAGAAACATACTTTACGCTCTGGAACACCTTGTCTATCCTTTTTAGAATTTGAACTGTGCAAGGCCGATGATACTTGTCGATTAGACCACCTTTTATCATCGTTTGCCAAAGAGGGGTCCCCTTACCGTACTTTTGGTGTTGGTATGTGTATAAAGTATTGCTTTTTTGGGTATGAACTGTTGTTTACCATCTTTGTTTTACTCGCTGGATAGGCAACAGAACATCTCTAAGAGATAAGCCCTCGGCAGCAGGCACAAATGTTTACGAATTGCTACGAAAATTCCAGCTTAAATACTATAACGCCCCTCTCATGACACTGGCCGTGGAGTCTAAAGGTGAGTTCTCGCCATGACCACTTCCCTCACCATTCATGGGATTTGTGACTGTTTCCGTAAATTCTGGTCTTTAGATACGTTGGATCATCTTGAGTCTATGGTAAACGAAATCTTCGGTCCCATTTCTAACCGGTAGTTCTCAATTCAATGGAAATTCGCTCTTAAGTATTTGAGTTGTTAATTAAGATATGACGTATTGTAGAAATTGTGAGGCACCGGATCTGTCGGCATATGTGAACCCATTTCCGTCGACAGTGTATAAGAAGATGTACAAAGGTGAGGTTGGAGGGCCGCATTTCTGACCCTTATTGTGTTGCAGTTTGTCCGGTGAAGGAGACGGTGTCGATTTCGTTTGTTTGGAGTCTTCCTCCGATGCATTCGCATTACAGGTGTGTAGAGGTGTGTATTTTTATTGTTTGGTGCAGCGCAGTGTGTTGTGCTAGCCATTGTGGAAATTGTTGGCCCACTTGAGCGAGTGTGATGGGCGTGGGATTGTGTGATCAGGTGGTGAGTTGGGTGTGAGTATGGTGGGCTGAGGGGGTTTAGGGAGAGGTGTGCTAATTGGTATTGCTGGATTGGTGAAGGTGGTGGGGAAGGAGGGAAAGGAGGCGGAAATGTGAATGTTATGCGGTTGTTTCAGGTCGGCGGCGCTGAAATTTGTTGCGTCGATTGTTGGTCACGAGGGGAAGGGAAGTCTGGTGGCGTACCTGCGCAAATTGTAAGACCTTTTTTGTAATATGAGTCAATTTT